AAACTTCTCTTTATAAGTGAGGTTTTTAAAATAATTTCATTTGCATTAATTCATCTGTTTCAAATTGTGCCAACCTGAAATAATCCTATGATTCCACTGTGTCTGCAGATGGGTCCCCATACATCCATCTGCCAGTCCTGGCAAACAAGTATCTCAAAATGATTTTCCCTGCCTGGGATTAGTTCAACATATATTAGGTGATCACAAACATGAAATCATGTGTCCTCAAAAACAGTCTACACTATAGTACTTCGAAGGTTAGTGTTACAACATATGACATCTAACTTTGTCAAGAGACCAGCTAAGAAATGGAAAAAGGGATGTCTTTCATTGTGGATCACAGTTTGATTATGTTATCAGACTTATCAGATAAAGGTGGCAAAAATTTCCTTCATAATTTCATGGACAGTCAGGATGACTGTCATTCATTCATTGTTTAAACAATGAATGAATAAAGATTGATGTTTTAAAATCCAGTATTATCAGAGAAAAATATGTTAGTCTTCCCTAGTCAATGCATCCCAACTTTTAGTCTTAAGTCTTGGATACCCATATTCCATGGGAATGATGTTAGTTATTATATAGCATACTGAGGTAGGCTGGTTGAGTGCACATAATGATACACATTGATCTTAGATGGTAAAACTGGCAAGGATTCTCCTTTCCAGGAACAGCATGGTAGCACAGAAGCTGAAAGTGAAGAAAGGCAACAGCTCTCCACCCAAATACTGGCAGCAATAAGTGTGTACAGATAGGTTATTTAAATATAGATGGATTTTATTGAAAAAGAAGTCGAATCAGGAGAGAGATAAAGAAAAGAAAATATGCAATATGTGGGTTTAACTAGGAGTTACTTGGTTCCTCTAACAAGATGTATGGTAAATATTATGACAACTCAATTTTAGTTTGGATTCCCTTAAAAGCAAGTGACTTCTAATTGGTGGGTCATAAACTGAAGAATCAGCCCTTTTTTAAAGACATCCACACATAAAATAATATAACATTTGTATCACACATACACAATTTTTTAGATACTATTAACTTTTAAAAATTTTATTTGTTTTTTATTTATTTATATATGACAGTAGAATGTATTTTTGACATATCATACATACATGGAGTATAACTTCCCATTTTATACTATTAACTTTTAAGAATTTAAGTTTTTTTTTTAACTTTGTTTTTATTTATGTTTTGGTACTGACATTGAACCCACGGAGGCTTTATCATTGACCTAAGTTCCCAGCCCTTTTTATGTTTTATGTCGAGGAAGGGTCTCATTAAGTTTCTTACAGCCTTGCTAAAGGGCTGAGTCTAGCCTTGAACTTGAGATCTTCCTACCTCCACCTCCCAAGCCATTGGGATTATAAATGGCTTGTACAACAATGTCTAGCTGAAATTTAAAAAAAATATATATAAAACCTTAAAAAGAAACAGTAAAAATATTGTACTGACCCACTGTATTCTGTTTCCCTAAGATTCTAGAAGTTTTCTAGGTTCTATGTTCTTAGCATCTGGTTTAGAAATTTAAGTTGTTTTCTCTTCTACATGTTTTGAAACAATAGAATGGCAAATTTTCCAAGACAATTAAGAAAAAATAAGAGAAGAAATCATCAGCAGAACTATTACTGTTTAAAAGAACCCACTAAGGATGTTGATTCTAGTTAGTTTCTTCTGAACTGTGATGGACTACATAGTTCTGACTCTCCACAAAGTCATATGTTGATGTCTAGCTGGATGGTATTTAGAGGTGGAGAATTGGGGAGGTCACAAGAGTGGAGCCTTCATGAATAGGAATAAGAGTTGATGCAACAAGAAGGAGGCTCTTGGCAAACCATGATAAGGACCACCTCTAGGCTCCAAATCGGCCACCACATTGATCTTAGAAACTTACCAGGATATAGAACCATGATAAATGAATGACATTTAAACAACCGAGTTTACAGTATTCTGTTTTAGCAACTCCAAATTATTAGACCATTGGACTTCAGAGTGAAGGAAAACATCTGAGCTCCTTCGTACGGAAAAACCATGTACATACTCATGTGTATATACGTGTCTATGTACATAAATATCAGTTGAATAATTGAAAATAAAGAAAATACAAAAGAAATATAGAAACATATTGATATAGGCTTGAAGTTTAAAAAAGTGTCATGGGGCTGGGGATGTGGCTCAAGTGGTAGCGCACTCGCCTGGCATGCGTGCGGCCCGGGTTCGATCCTCAGCACCACATACAAACAAAGATGTTGTGTCCACTGAAAACTAAAAAATAAATATTAAAAAATTCTCTCTCTCTCTCTCTCTCTCTCTCTCTCTCTCTCTCTCTCTAAAAAAAGTGTCATAAATAAGAAATAGAAAACTCTAATTTAAAAAGGTAAATTAATCCAAGGACCATAAGAATAAAAGAAATAAAAAACAAAGAAATGAAATGGTTCTAAACTGAAAATTAGTAGATACAATAAAAACAACAAAGAAGGAATTCAAAATCCTATATGAATCTTTTGCTAAAATATCAACAAAATGTTTGATATGGAAACATAAAACTTTGGAAAATATTAAATTAAGATACCAACATTACAACTAGCAAGGTAAACATAAGATGTGTTATATATCCAGTAGCTTCACAACCAGTTGTATAATTTCTGGGTCAAGTAGTAGTTCTATTTTGAGATTTAATGAAACTTTATTATTTTACATACTAGCTGTATTAATTTACACCTCCACCAGCAGTATATGAAAGTTCTTCTATCTTCGGAAGCTTAATAGCATTTATCTTTTTAATAATAATCATTCTAACTGGAATGAGATTAAGTTTCATTGTGATTTAGACTTGCACTGATTATTAGTCATACTGAACATTTTGCCATATGCCAACAGGCTATTTCTTTTGAGAGATGTTTAGTTATTTAGCTCATATTTTCATTGGGTAATTTACTTATTTATATTTTGTTATTGACCTGTTAAAGTTACTTTTCTATTCTGGCCATTAACACTTTGTCAGAGGTAGAATTTGCAAATATTTTCACCCTTTCTGTGTGTTCTTTCTTCATTCTGTTGACTTTGTCTTTTGCTTTGCAACTTTTTATTTTGATGTCCTCTGCTTTGTGGACTTTTGCTTTTGTTGCCTGTGGTTTGTGTATCATATCCAAAAATTTTTTTGCTTAGAACTATTGTGAAGTATTTCTTCTAATAGTTTTCTAGATGTGGGTTTTTATTTTTTAAATGTGTTTTATCTTAACTTTGGCTTATGAACAGAGGTCAAGGTCTAGTCTCATTTTTCTAAGCAATATTTTTTGTGTGAAGATATCATTGCCCAAGCATATACTCACATGTGGCTATAAGTTAAACACCAAAATTCTTTCCTAAATTAGAGAAATTGGTATTCCATGTTATTTTAATTATGTCAAAATGAACCCAAATATTATGTATAACTAACATGAACTAGTAAAATAATTAATGTGGATATAATCCCACTACTGGGTATTTTATATATAATTATATATATATATATATATATATATATATATATATATATATATATATATATATACACACACACACATATATTTAACATACAGGTTTAAAATCATATATATATATATATATATATATATATATATATATATATATATATGATTTTATATATCTATATATATATATATATATAATTTTAAACCTGTATGTTAAAAAGACATCTACATTTCTTGGTTTATTGTAGTACTTTTTAACGTTAGTTGAGATATGCAACTAGCCTATGTGTTCACTAACAGTTGAATAAATAAAACATATGAAATACTGTTTAGCAATAAAATTAATGAAATTCTGTCACTGCGGCAACATGAGTTGACCTGGAAATCATAATGTTAATTGAAATAAGCTATGCAATGAAGATAAACACTGAATGATTTTATTCATATGTGGAAAGTTAAAAAAAATTGACTCCATAAATATAGAGTAGAACCAAGGATCTGAGAGTCTGGGGAGGGGAGGGGAGAGAGGAAGATGGGCACTGGTTAACATATACAAAGAGACAGAGAAAAGGAATGATTCTGAGGTACCATTACACAATAGTGTGATTATAGTTATAATATTGTATCATACAAATCAAAATTAAAAAGAAGATATTGTATGTTCTCATTACAAAGATACGATTACAATTTGAAATGATAGAATGCCTAAACATCTTCAGGTAAACATTTCACAATTTATACATGTGTCCAAATATTATTACTTTGCCCCATAAATAGGTGCAATTGTTATCTTTCCATTAAAAATAAATATATAAATTTTTAAAAAGTCTGTGATATGAGAAAAGTTGCTTAAATATAGAAAATACCTATTTTTTTTTTAATTTGAAGAAATTAATAGCAGGATTTTAAAGATTAACAGCATAGGCTGAAGAAGAGGAAAAAAAATGTTGCCAGAGGGTCAACTAACAAGAGTTCCAAGAAAGCAATACTTGTTTTCCTATAGGAAAATCTGCTTTTGAATTCCTTATGGGAATTACCAAACTTAAGGATATATATATATATATATATATATATATATATATATATATATATCACATAAATTTACCATTGATTCAGACTTTGAGTTTGTATGATTTCTTGTTGTTGATGATGTTACTGGGGATTGAACTCAGAGGGGTTAACCACTGAACCACATCCCCAAACCCTTTTATATTTTATTTATTGAAACAGGATCTCACTAAGTTGCTTTGGGCCTCTCTAAGTTGTTGAGGCTGGCTTTGAACTCAAAATCTTCCTCTCTCAGCCTCCCGAGAGCTAGTGGTATTACAGGTGTGTACCACTGTGCCCAATAATGAGTTTCCCTGATGACTGATCTGGATGTTGTTCTTAAGACAAAATTTATAGTTTGTTTTTGAACATAATAGAAATATTTAAATTTATTCTATTTTTTTTCAAAAAACATAAAAATAGTGCTTGTTTGAAAAATATAAATATCATGATGTTGGAAATCCTATTTATTCTTCATAGCCACTGAACTATGAGAAAAAGAAGTCCTATACCCTAAACATAGAAGGAGCCAATACACACCTGGATTTTCGCTTTTCCCACCTGGGTCCTTTTAAAGATGCAACCATGCTGAAGATCATCGTTGGGGATGTAGATGAACCACCACTATTTTCCATGCCTTCTTACATTATGGAAGTCTATGAAAATGCGAAGATCGGGACCATCGTTGGCACAGTTTTAGCACAAGATCCTGACAGTGCTAACAGTTTAGTAAGGTATGCTGTGATTCAATACTTCTAATATATAAAGATATTTGTTTCCTCTCAAGTGAATTTAAATATGAATTATATAATATTTACATATTTTATTACCAAGTTGACTTTTTTTTCAGAATTAAATTAGACTATTTGTTGGTTCTTTAACTGAGGAACATAGCAGATGTGTTTTTGTACAATTAAGAATATATGTAGCTATCTCCATGCATGTGCTACTGACCACCCAGATCATTTCCACTTGACTGAATAAATATGTGCATGATTGATTGAAAAAAATATTGTAGAAATAACTCAAACGAGAGAATCTTTGGTATCCTAGGGGTAGGAAGTATGGATAGAGTGGGAAAGTAAAATATGGGAATAAGATTCATCTCAACTTGACTACTGGTCCCTCTGGTCACAAGAGCTCTGTGGCATTATCTAGTGATCTGTCCTTATCTACCCACCCCTCAAGATTATTGTACAGATTCATAAATCTATATTCACAAAGCACCAAGTAAAGCATTCCACAACTGGCAGTCACACAACTGACTTAAGGTGAGTTAAGGTGCCCAGGTGAGTCTGGACACAAACCTAGACATCCCTGAGAAGACTCATATGGGAATTCTGGCATCTCTACTGACAGTTGAGCAAGATCTGTTCAATCCTGCTGATTCTCAAAATTATAGTATTTAAAATGGAACAATCATGCACATAAATACGTTGATAGAGTTGAATTTTATGGAAATGAAGGAGTTAGCACATGTACTGGCACAGTGATGAGCATCTAATTACTAAATAATATTTTATTATCAATATGCCATGCAATAGAGATTATTAAGACTTTCTTATATAATCAGAAAGGACTTCTTTTTTGTCTCATGACAAAATTAAAAAAAAATTGTGTATAGTGTATATTTACATACTTAGAGACCCTCAAGCCTTTGTTAGTTGAAATTCTTAAACAGGTCTGTCTGATTTGTCCCATAAACTCTTACTTTCACCCTCATTAGTTTTCATTCATTTTAATAAAAGCAAATAAAATATACCTTATACAATATTTATGGATGCTCTCAATTTTATTTTCTATATGTGTTATTATTTCAGTATTTTAAGTGTATAGCACAAATGAATTAAGAGAAACAATTCTCCGTGAACAAATGTATAAATTTAGTAATCATGTTCCATATCCAAGTGCAGTGACAGTATCCTGTCTTGCTAAGAGCAAAAGCTAGATATTGCTTAAAGAAGCAGAGTAGCAAGATATTCAAAATAATATTTTCAAGATCAGTTATAGAAATTAATCACTCTAAAGGAATAGATAGAAATCACTATGTCCACTGATCGACTAGAGGAAATTTCATTATGCTTCATCATTCTATAAATTACCATATTTTACGCTTAACTATAGGTATAACTCATTAAAATATACTGAAAGGTAGCACTTTAAAGTATGTGTGCAGGTGAGACTTCCTTTGCTATATACTTCCAATGTCTTGGAAAATAAGATATTCTATTATGTTAGTTTAATTTGAAAATATCTGATAAAAATTGGTCAGATTTCATTTGAAATTTAAATATTCACACAAATGATGCTTTCTATAATTGATAATTAAAGAGTAGAAGTTTTTCCCATTTGTAAAGTGATAGTCAACTACCCATCATTAGTACCTATATTACAAGGATCCTCATAATAAGAAATTACACCTATACACACACAACCACCACCACCACCACCAACAACAACAACAACACTACTAGTTTGAACTCCAGATAAGACAGAAGCTTAGAAAAAGTTAAGAATGTATTTTAATCAGTTTTTTTTAAAGAAGGAGAACAAATATGCATGGGGAGGTGAATAAGAAAGAGGGAGACACATCATTTAAGGAATTATTTTATATAATTGTACAGGTACAAGTTCATAATCTGCAGAATAGGCCAGCAATCTGGAGACTCAGTTTCAGTTTCAGTCTAAAGGCTATCTGTGAGCAGAATACTTTTTGCTTGGGAAAAATTAGTCTTCATTCTATAGGCTTTCACCTGATTGTGTGGTGTACATCCACATATGCTTTAATCAGACTCCACTGATTTAAATTAAATATTTGTCCCATCCAAAAAGACCTTCACAGAATCATACAGAATAACACTTGGCCAAATCTCTGGACATTGTTGCATAAACAATTTGGCTCATAAACATGATATCATATTGCAATGAGGCTTACAGTGGTCTCATAGATGTATTATAGGCAGTGTATCCCAAATATTTTTGAGAGAATAAGTTCAAAAAGATTGAAGTGAGGCTCATAATCTAGGTCTGAGAAGTAAAGGTTGGAGAAAGAATTGCAGATGGTGGTCTATATGAGGAGTGTGGACTATATATGGATATGGTGAATTATGAGGTTTGGAAGTGAGGCTAGGCAAGGATTTTGAGGAGGGTTTTTTGCTGGTAGGTCTTTGAGACTTATCTTAGCAGCAGTGCCAATTAGGGAAGAAAAGAAAATAGGGGAGCTTCAATATTTGTAACCAAAAAATATATAAATAAAACATTTCCATTTCAAGATAAATACTAATAAACTTAGAAGTTGAAATGAAAGATGAATTATCTTTGAAGCAATATAGGCCAAATGAGACAAAATTGAGAACAAGAGCAAACTCCTTTCAGCAGCTGTCCTAACACATATGAAAACACCTTATTTCACACAGAACTGGAGATGAAATACCCACCCTCCTCCAAGGGACAGTTGGAATTGTCTGGAGGCTTTTTTGAGAATGTCTTGGTCCTTTGGCTATCACTATCTGACCTGCACTGTGGAGTGTAAAAAATATTCATTTTCACAGTTCTGGATGCTGAATGGTCAAAGACCAAAATCTAGGGTTTGGAGAAGAACTGCTTCCAGGTTTGTAGATGCTGTGTCTTCAGGTGGCAAGGAGCAGAGAAAGAAGCAAAGTGTCTCCTAGTTTTTTCTTGGAAAGCCCTAAATTCATTCATGAGAGCTACAGCGAATTTCATAGTCAATTTCTGGTGATGATTTTTTGATTTAGCCAGTTTGGCTGCCACAACACATTACCATAAACTGTGTGCTCCTAAAAAACAGAAGCTTTTATCTCACAGTTGCACCCTGAAATAAGGGTGGCAGAGTAGCTGGGTTTGGGGGAAGACCCTCTGTATTGCAAGTAGTCAACTCCTGTTACCCTTACATGTTGGTGAGGCATTTAAAGAAATCTGAAAATCAAAAAAATCTCACATTCTAACAATCTCCCTCATTAGAATGCTAATACCATTCTTGAGATCTCCATTCTTAAGATCTAATGCCTCCTTAATTGAGGACCCTGTCAGGTCAATTAAATGTGCAAGGGGGTAGGGGTAGGGGTGGCACAAGCATCCAGTCCATAGCAGGGAGAGAACTACTGGCATCTCTAGTAAGAGAGAACCAGGGATCAAGATAACATTCCACAATTCATGGGACCACTACTATCACAGAAACTATCTGGTCCCAAATACCAATAGTTCTGAAGTAGAGGAACTCTGCTATAGAATAAGGAAAATTTTGTGGTAGATTAGTAAAACAGCAGTACTAAATATATTCATTAAAAACAAGTTTACAAAGAAATTTTGTAGAGATATTTATTCAAATGCATAATTTAAAATAGACATAATCATATGAATGTTTCAATATGTATGTTTCAAAGTTAAGTGAGCTATTTCTATGGATAATTTATTTCCCCAAGTTATGATTAATTGCTTCAGTAATTGCTCCATATTATTGAGAATATTTAATTGAATACTTGCTATGGCACATATATTCTCCAACGTATTGGGGTGCAAAGATGACTGATATTGTATCTAAATGCTAATAAAGCAAAGCACAAATCTCCCAGCATATGCATTATTCTCTTTGCTTTGTTTTGGTTAGACAACTAAAATGAATCCTGCTTCTGCCCTGTAAAATAATTAGGGACTCCTTAGCTGCTGTTTGGGGGCATAATTTACATAATATTTATTCTTTATTTTAATAAAAATGTGTCATTCACATGGGCCTCTAGGTGCAAACAGTGAATAAAAAAAACAGAAAACAATAAGGAACACACAAGCAAGCCTCATATTTCCACCTTTCTCAGGGACCAAATGTTTGTACTAATTAAGGAAAAGCACATTGAGAAGATGTACCTTGCAGTGTGCCCCGAAATGCAATTAGCTTCAAGTTTGCAGAATTGGAAATGAAAGGGAGTTTGAGTCTTACATGCATTTGTGAAAATCTTCCTGACTGTAGTCTTTTGTTTTTCAATTTTCTAACCTATTAGTGAGGCACTAGAATCCTTGGAGCCTCAAATGTCCTATGCTTTATCTTTTTCTACTCAAAATAAGATGTTCAATTTGTAGCAATAGAATCATCACTTTTTGTTAAAAAAGAAAGGAAAAATACATAAAATTTTAGACTGGTTGTTTACATGTACTGAAGAAATCTTGGGTTTAAATGGCTGCACTTAAATTGCCAGCATAATACTTTTACAAGGCTAGGCCTTCTGGGAAACTGAGGAAGCATGAAGGCCCCTCTGATTCTGGCAGTGAAGTCAGAAAAATTTTCGACTTATCCCTCAGAGTAACAGACAAGTTTATTAGAACAGATAGAAAAGGAGAAGGGGAAACACTCTCACGGGAGAGAGTGGATGATCTCAGAGAAGAGAGGGACAGTGATCAAAGGGATTAATTTCATACACTGGTAAGAGGAAATGGTGAAGACAGTCAAGTTGCTTTTTAACTCCTGAAACACCAATATAGAGCTCTTCTTTATTTTTGGAGGGTGGTGGTGCCTGGGATTGAACTCTGGGGCATTCAACCACTGAGCCACATCCGCAGCCCTATTTTGTATTTTATTTAGAGACAGGGTCTTACTGAGTTGCTTAGCACCTTGCTTTTGCTGAGTCTGGCTTTGAACTCTCAATCCTCCTGCCTCAGCCTCCCAAGCCACCACTAGGATTACAGGTGTGTGCCTTGCACCCAGCCTATAGCACTTATTAAG